ATTTAAAGACTTCAAGTCAATAGAATAAAGCATGCACAATTCATGAGGTTTGGAGGAGAAAATATTGAATTTGATGCAATCACGCTATAATATAGCTACTCTGTGCAGCCTTTAATATTTTGAGCGTATTTCTCACATCCAAATATATATATATATATATATATATATATATTTAAATCCAAAAAACGTTCACTTAAAAAAAATCATTTTTTTAATTTTTTTGTTTTTGTTTTTAATGAAAATAAAATTCTTTTTTTTTTTTACTTTTTTAATTCGTCTAGTTAAATAGAACCTAAAATCGTAAATTTCTTTTGAAATATTTTATAAAAAGTTGACTAAAAATAGAAAAATTAAACACCCCCCCCAAAAAAAAAAGATCATCCCAGACAAACCATAGTTAGTTTGATGTGATTCTGGTAAATAATCTGCTACTAATTGCAAAAAAGAAAAAAAGGTTGGACTAATAACTGGAGTAATGGGGATAGCAAAGTTACCATAATCGCCAATATAACCACGTTTACGGAGGCCTTTCTTGGTGGAGCATCCAACACCGCAAATGGACTCAATATTCTTAGGAGAAAAACCCTTCTCGTTGTTGAATACTAGCAATGTCACCGTAATGTCCCTTGAAGTTATCACAAACTCCAGCGATACATTCTATTATCATATTTTTGATTCATGATTATAAAAAAAAAAAATTTAAAAAAGGCAAATTATACTAACAGTGTCTATTGTTTGGATTTTGTGTCACTTTAGTCTTTGATTTTTCAATTGTCATATATTTGACCCTAAATTTTGAATCTCATTCTAAATAATGATAATTGAAGATATTGTTACTCCATTTGAAGGACAAAGTCGTCGTACAACTTATTTTGTGTTGGTTAACTTATATGTTATTTGAAATATAATGACTTTTTTTTAATGAATAATATTGGAACTTTTTTTGGTTATAAAGTTCTGTTTGGTTTGATTTTTAGAATCTATTTTCAATCTTTTTTCTAAGAAATTAAAAATTAAATTGGTGGAAAAAAAAAACATATCATTTTTATATAACTTTATCTTTTGGGAGGGTAGAAATAATTTTTTTTGATATTTATTTTCGTTAAATTAGTTTTTATTTTTTCAAAAGTCAAACATATTATTAAACTAATATATTAAATCAAAAAATCCAAAATCTAAAAATATTTTGTATATTAAACATATCGATTATACATTAACAGGCTAATAACCATCAATTACATGATAATCATCCAAAAATATATGTTTACAACTGATAGGCATGGCCCAGAAGGGCCCAACCCATGGTTACTATGGGTTCCCCACACAATTATTGATTAGTTATCATCATAGAGCCCAGCAGAACGGGCCCAACACCAAGCCTGATAGAGAACCCACAATAGTCAAGCCCAGGCACTAGCTAGACACGTGTCAAGCAAGAGTCCAGCCATGTAGTAGACAAAGATTTTACAAAATTATTGAACCCATGCGCCAAGCATTAAATGAGACTATCAAGGCATTAAATGCAATAAGACCTCTCACTCTGAAGTATAGTGAAATGGCCAAGGCCAACGACAAGTAGGTGGCAGACTTTCAGCTAATGAGATAGCATGAATGGACAAGGAAATGATTAAGAAGAGACATAGAGAAGCTTCTAAGGAACGTTTGAGACAAGTAACTCTCTCTCTCTTCATTCCTCTACGCTTAATTTCTCTAAGTTCCTATCCTCTCCATCTTCTTCATCTAATTTGATCGTCGAAGGGTCTGTAAGAAGGAAACCATCCCCATTTCGGAATCGTCCTACTAGACTGTTGCAAGTGTGATCAGGAAGATGAAGGACATCCAACTCGTAGAGCGTCGTACGCCGCGACCAACTGCATTATCAACAACAAAATATCAACAAAAATAACCATCTTTTACATGATAATCATCCAAACACATATTAAAAATTAATTTGGCAAAAAAAAAAAATGTAAAACATTTATCATTTTTATATAATTCTATCTTTAGTTAGTGGAAATAATTTTTAAAAATTAGAAAATAATTTGTTGAAATTTATTTTTGTCAAGCTAGTCATCTATCTTTAGTCATATATTTTATAAAATTGATGACTCTGCCCTTGAGCAACAATGTCTTCAATTGTTCTTATTTGAAATGAGATTTAAAATTCAAGATAAAATGTATTACAATAGAAAAGTCAGAGATTAAAGTGACATGAGCCCCAAACTACAAGAAACGTTAGTGTAATTTGTCCTAAAAAAAACAAAAAAAAAAATGTCATACCCAAGCACTATGAGTACACAGGATGTAAATACAAGTACATGAAGATGTAAAAAAGTCATAACTAAAGAAAAAAATTAGTTATAACTAAAGAAGAACGTGACGTAAATACAAGTACACATGATATGAAATGTGTATTGTAGAATTCTTCTTATGTTTAGGTTGCCCAAATTCAAACATAGAAAATTTATTTTGGTTTGTCCTAAACTAATGTTTTGCACTTTTTGAAAATAAAAAATAAAAAATAAAAAATCTCAAAAATTACAAAAATGAAACATAATAATCAAAATAATTTAAGTTATGTGCCACAAATAACTTAAATTCAAATTTGGATTTTGTTTAGCCAAAAATCCACTCTAAAATATATTGTTCATAAGGACAAGCTTAGATGAAATAACCAAAATATCCATATATATATGTGTGTGTGTGTGTGTGCGCGTGTGTGTGTGTAGACAAATTTCACTTTATTCCCCTATGGTTTGGTTCATATGCAGTTTTTACCCGCTAACGTTTGAAAATAACCACATAACCCCCAGGTGGTTTGTGGATTGAAGTGCATCATTAAACATTCCGCCTAACTTAACAGTAACTGTGAAACACGTGACATACTAAGCGGTTTATATAGCAATTTTTAAATTTTAATGGGGTAAATCGCACATGGAATAAAGCACAGGAATTAAAGTGCACTTTGTCTTCCAAACAAAAAATAAAAATATAAGGGTATTTTAGTGTTTTTTATTTAATCGTTAACGGGCCTAATGGTGCATTTTAATACACAAACCACAAGGGATTATGTGATCATTTTCAGACGTTTAGAGGGGTAAACCGCACATTACCCAAATCACAAGAATAAAGTGAAATTGGCCGTATATATAATATATACTTATCGTATATACTCATTTCAAACCCTTAAAATCTCAGGGGTGTTTTGGCAACCCAATAAAAAGCTAGCTTTTAGCTTTTTACTCATTTTGGGTCACATCATCTCTCACATTTTTACCCACAAAAAGACAAAATAGACTAAAAAAGCTGAAAGCCAGCTTTTAACCAACTTCGCAAAACACCACTCAGTTCTCTCTCTTTCTTTCTCTCTCTCTCTCTCTCTTTCTCTCTCTCTCTCTCTCTCTCTCTCTCCGCGTCTTTTCTTTCTACTTCTATCTCACTTTCTCTTTTCCCGTCGCTGTTCGTGTCGCTGTCCATCAGTGGTGATGCCACTGCCAATGGTTTCACATCTGACATTGTTGAAGTCAGTTTTGTTGTGGATGGAGACAAGAGGGGAGGAGTGAAGGAAAATGAAGAAGTTGTAGATGTTGAGAAGTATGTAAGCGAAGTGTTGTCGTGCTCTCCGTTATTGCCATTTTCTCTGTCTGTCTGTCTGTCTGTCTCTCTCCTCCTTTTCTCTCTCATCTTTCATCACCACCGCAATCAGAGCTTTGCTACCCTCCTTCGTGTCCGTCGGCACCAAAGCTCTGTCGTTACTATCGCGTCACCACCACCGACGTGAGATCCAGATCTAGATCTTTTAACTCTTCGTCCTCCAGATTTAGATCCATCATTTTTGCTTCGATTAACTTTCCATTTCAACTTCAATCACACAAAAATTCCCTAATTTTTGAAATATTTTCCTTCATGAGTTTCCATGGTTGACAATGACATTGTATTCGAAGGTGGCTACATAGTGATTACAGTCATCGATGATCACGAACTCCGCATAAATCCTCGCTCAATTCTCTCTCAATTTGGATCGTTCAATCTCATCATCCTTGATTTAGCCAATAGTGCCTTTTACACTGCCTCAATTTCCAAATCCCAGTGTATATATGCGTACATGTATATGGATGACATGAATGTGTTTATAAAAGAAAATCGATTTCTATACATATAAATTGTGAAAAATATCGTGAAAATAATATTTTCGATTTGTTGGTGTTCGATTTGTGTGGGATTTTTTTTTTTTGTAGTTGTAGTTGATCGATGTTGTTGTTGTTGACAATAAAACAGATTGTAACATTAAAAAAAATTTCGACAAATAGGAATTCCAATAGATATGTTCAAAATTTGAATAGATAATAAGGTTTGAGCAGGTTTAGAAAAAAATTGAATAGATAATAAAATTTGGATAGATAGTTTTAAATAGATAAGCGAAAAAAATTTAACCGATAATAAAATTTGGACATATATTTGAACAGATAAGGAAAAAATTAAATAGATAAAAAATATTTGAACCTAATGTCTTATATCGTCCTTAGATTGGACTTTTTAATAATTTCTATATATTATATTTCAATATGATTTAATCCAAAAGATGAGAAATTTTTTTGTAACTTATAATATTTTATCTTTATTATAGAGCACTCGGGCCATAAATCTAATTTTGAAATTGAGACAAATTAGTACAAATTCTATTATTTTAAACCATAACAACAGTACAATTTAAAAGATTATATTATCCTCATCTATCTATCTTTTGTCTATGGGGGTGTTTGGGAAGTTGGTTATTTTAATAGATTATTTTAATTTTTGACTATTTTTATAGGCTAAAATAGTTATGTTTGGAAAGAAGGTTAGATTTTTTTTTGTAATTTGATGTGATGTTTATAAGGAAAAAATTGAAATAATTATTGGTTGAATGTGACATTTTATATTATTGACTATTTTAATTTATTTTTCCTTTTAGGCCTCATTTGTCAACTACACATTTTAGCCAAAAAGTTACTATAAGTTGTCACATCATATTCTCTACTTTTTTGTACATCTTTTCGTAAAAAATTAAAAAATTACTAAAATAGTTTATTTCCAAACGAGGCCTTAGTACTATTTTAGCTCAAAAAGCCAAAAAATATATTGCCAAACATGTACCCCGCTTATCTATCTCTCTCTCCCGCAACTTTTTAGGAAACTTTTAGGGGATATTAGGCCTAGTTCGGGAACATGTTATTTTAGTAATTTTTTGACATTTTACGAAAGATGTGCAGAAAAGTAGAAAGAGTGATTTGATAACTTATAATGACTTTTTAACTAAAATATATAATTGACAAACGAGACCTGAAACTCATTATGAGATAAGCTGATTGTTCTTCAAAGAGGAGCTTGTTTCAATTGAGGTCGTTCCCGTTCTCGTTCTCGTTTTCGTTCTCGTTCCCGTTGTTGGCTCTAGACATTACTATTTTTGCATCGTCGATATCATTGCCAGCAGCTTCCAAGCCCCTCCAACACTCCCGATGCCTCTATAAATGCAAAAATCCATCCAAAAATGGCTCCTTTATACTGTTGACGGGAAGATTCTACTGTCAAATCCTTCTCCTCTATAGCCTACAGCAACCTGCTCCTGTGGAACCTCACCGCTTCCAAACCCATCTAAGCTCCTTTTGAACTCCTATAGCAACCCACCATTTAGCTTTGTGAGCAACTAGTTAACTTAAACCAACATTTTTCTAAGAATTCAAAATGAGGGACTATAGAGAGAAATGAGATTTTAAAGCAAGAAACAATTAAATTTAGTTTGAGAGAGAAAATTGTATTGTTGGGTATATTTCTTTAGTGGAGCATGAGACAATTGGTTTTCTCAAAGAATAATTAATTTAGTATGGTATTAAATATAATATATTTTATATATATCATATTAGACTTTTACGTCATGTTTGATTCACAAGATTAATAGTGAAATATTAATAATCCTATTAAATTAGTGTGGTATTCACTATCCGATTGGATTAATATCCGTTGGATTAATAATCCCACCCCTATCCCATTACTAATAATCCTACAAATTTGTTAGATTAATTATCCATTGGATTAATAATCCTAAACCAAAATGTTAAAACAAACATAGGATAATTGGGTCCACGGATTAATAATTCCAATCCCATGCTCTAATCCACCCAATCAAACATGCCCTTAAAGTCCAATGTAGTATTAAAATGTGTTTGGTGACATTTAACATTATTGAATTATTTGTTTGGGGAGTCCAAGAGACATCAATACACTTTGTATTGATTAGTGGCTGTTGATATATTTGAGCAATGTCATATAAATAAAAAAAAATCATAGAAAAATATTAGAGATTCCAAATATTTTATCAAATATTTTACCAAATGTTTCATACTCTCATACATAATGATGTGGCTTATGATGGACCTTTAATTTCAAAACAAAACACTATTAAAGATGAATTTATTTACAATAAAAATATTATTACATTAGTTTTCTCAAGTTTTTTTTGTTTTGTTTTGTTTTTTTTGATTTTTTTTGGTTTTATAAATTTTATGTAAGAATATAATTTCCTGATATATTTTTGATATATCTATTCGCTGGGTTTGTTCAACCTACGAGGCTGTGTGTATTGATTGGGGCAACAACAATACTTTGCAATCTTTATTCATTGCTTCGAAGACTTGGTGCTCCTGCCATTGTCTGTTTATCAACTCTACATCGAAGGTACTTCACTGTTCTATTTTGTTTTGCTTCGAAGGACAGTTTTGGAAGCGTATCGGCAGTCACTGTGAGGACTGGTTTAGGCCTATGATCCTGGGTCTTTTACAATTTGTTTGAAGATATTTATTAACTTGTTAGATGAGGTCTTTCTTGTTGATTATTTGGAATTTATTTAAGATAGTTATGAGACCTTTGTGTCTCGGTTGTAATCATTTGTAAACTTTTGGTTGATAGTGAAATTGGAATACGGTCCTGTGGACGTACCTTTACATAAAGAGAATTACGTGAAAATTCTTGTGTCGTTATCGATTCAACTTTTCCACAATATTTTTATTTCCTTCGATTGATTTACACTCGTGAAAAATCATCTATTTTTTCTAAGATGCATGGCGGAGGACCCAAAAGGTGGGGGTGCTTGCGGTTCAGTTTTGAACGGTTCAGTTTGCGGTTTGGATCTGCCTACAGGTTTGGATCTGCCTACATATGTGCAGTTTAGGAAAAATTGAATCTGCAACTGCCCGCAGTGCGGATTGCGGTTTGTGTGGATAGGGTTCGCGGATGTGGGGCAGTTGCGGGTAGTTTGCGGATTAGACTTTTTCCTTTAAAAATTTATTTTTGAGCCTTTCCCCTCCCTCCCCGTTTTGTAAATATTTATTTTGGGCCATTTTTCTCCTATTTTTCTAAAATGTTCAACATTAATAATTAATGAATTAAAACTTATAAAACTAAAAATATAATAAAATCAATTCATAATACAAGCAAATCATTCAAAATCCTAAACTTTTGAATAAAATCATAAAGTAACACAAGCACATTGTATGGGAGAGAAATATTCGCTTCGCTCGGTACCTCCTTGCTACCAAGCTCATCTCACTCCGTTAGGACTCCATCGTACTCTGAACAAGACAAAGGTGAGCTACCCGGCGGGTGGGTTTGCCAGAAAACCCCTTTGGTGGTCAAGTTAGCTTTCTGGAGAAGAGAGAAGGCAAAACAATGTAGAGAGAGAGTTCGAAATTGCTTACCTCCAACGTCTGCTTGCTCTTCCTTTTCAAGGCTGGTCATGCAGTCTCAGAGATTGTGGGCGCACTACCCTTATTGTCTTTTACTGGACAGGTGACTGTGCTCCTCTCTATATTTCTTACACGTGGAGAGACCAAAACCACCAAGTAGTGTTTGTCGCACCGCCAAACGGTATTAACGCATACAAGGAATGGATTCCTCTCTTCTCGTTATTGATCTACGTGGAATACTTGACCGGGCTATTACTTGTGAACCATAAACATCACGTCGACCACCTTGATGCTGAGCTAAATCAAACCAATCTTTTAGAAGTTACGTGCCCGGTCAAATCCCCAACGGCATCGTCTAGAACCGACTGAAGGTGGGTACGCTGTTCGTTATCTCTGCTACACATTGCGATCCCATGGACCATCTCTGTCTCAACTAATGTAGCCCGAACCATCTACAGCTCGGCCGTCATGTGGTTCTGCTACCTAGAACCTCAATACCGAGGCAGTTCAGCCCACCGACGTGAGCCAGTTCGGCCAGGTTTGGCCCGACACAATATTCTGTGTAGGTCCAGCTTGGCCCAACACCATATTCCGTGTGGGCCCAGCTCGGCCCACCACATCCCAGACAACCTTAATCCGCCCAACCTAACACCACATTCTGTGTTGGTGTAGCTCGGCCACTGTTCGGCATAAATCTCTCTCTCAATTGCCCCTTAATCCTATCCAAGCTGAATGTGAATGAGATTACCTTTCCTAACCGAGCTATCCATTTTGGCCGGTCGTCGAGACTTGTGTCAGTTGTCTTGTCATCAATCAATTAGCCGTACTGACAACCCATCATTTCAATGCCACGTGGCCTTTCCTAATTGGTTCCGTGCAACCCTACATCTGTCCCCATTATCTCTGAAATTTGAAAAGTTGGCGCCTTTTCATCATCACCTATATGCACACAAAAGGTCAGACCTCCTCTCATCACTGTTCATTTCCTCTGTACAAAACCCTAAACCCTTGAGCTTCTGCCACCGTCGCTGTCGCCGTCGTTGCTCCCATTTGCACCGCTTCCAGTGTTTTTTATCCTCATGAACATCGCAATAGAGGTCAAGGTCGATTGGATCTTGATTTGGCATCCAAATCTGTAAGTTCTTCTCGTTTTTATCTCTTTTTCATTGTTTTTCTTTGTTTTCTTCGAGTTTTTCTTGTCTGGGATTGTCAAAATTCTGGCAATACCCCTCTCGTGGGGTAAAAACTAATAGATATTCGTAGAAATTAGGCAAACCCGCAACTAAAAACATAAATGAGGCCTCTGTGCCCCTCATTTCCCTCCGTTGTAGTATACGAACTTGAATTTAGGATGAATAGTGTAACCTTTAGGCAAAGTCGAGCAAAAAATTGACTTTTGATCCACAAATTGCTCCAAACGGGGCTAAAACATGTTTATGGTCCCTTTAAATGATTTTGACCGCGCTAGAAGCCAGCAGGAACATTTAGCCAAGATAAGAGCCAGCTATTTAGGGGCAGAGGTCAGATCGGCCTATGACTGAATAAAAGTCGCGTCTTTTTTAACCGAATGAAATTCACAAAAGCCGCGCACTTGATGTCGCCCTAATACTTGCACTTTTTTGTCATAATGCAGACTGAACTAGGACCGACCAGGCACACCTCAACATCGTAAGCAGTGAAACTCAAAGACTGAGCAAATAATCACCAGAACCGCTTAATTTCAGCTGAGCTATTATCAAATTCACCATACAAAATAAGACCGGGGTAAATGGGAAAATACCGATTTATGGTTAGTTCACCAGGTACCATTGCTGAGTTTCGTAGGGAATTCAACATTCTAGACGATGTCCACTTAGAGCTGGACAAAAAATGAGACACTCCCTGGGACAAATTGGATGCCTACCCTTTCACTATTGTGTCTATAGTCGAAGGCGGCCTCCGCTTCCTGGTCCAGCTTCTAGTCTGCGAGTTTTTGAGGTAGACTAGGTTGTGCTCAACCCAGGTCTCCAAAAACACATACAAAATAATAATGGCATGGTTGCGCTGAACTGCATCCTCAATTTGAACCTCGGCCTTGCCGAAATATTCCACCAATATGTACTTAGCAAAAATAAAGGAGGCTTTTGTTGGTACCTCAAGGTTAGGAAAGGCCGAGCAAAACTTATAGAGGGTAACCCAAACAAAGAATTAAACGACAATGATTTTCTATTGATGTCTGGCAATTATGAAGACACTGAGGCACCCATACCGGGCTGGTACATACGTAAAAATTTTGGGAGCGCTGGTGAACAGCCTATCACTGTTTAAATTTTTGTATTTGACCTGTTTGTGCTGATCTAACACTTGGGAATTTTTATGCAGATTACACACTCTTGGTGGAGGATTATTCTCAAGCCAATCAGGAGGCCATCAGAGTTGGTATGTGGTATCCGGCAGGGGAATGAGGGCCCCAAAAGCTACTCGGATACTAACTGAGCTACCAGCGTACTGCACCACATAAGAGCAAGGTCATCGATTTTCTTCGTGCCCCCTCTCCAGAGTCGGATCCAACTTTTTCGCCTATCAAACTTGTTTCCTTAACCGCCGAACAGTAAATGACTAAGATTCGCGCTATCAAGTCCATGATCATAGGTGGGCCGAGCGATTCTCAACTGGCCGAAACAGCTAGGGGCCAATCATCGTGCCCATTTGCGCAGGAATCTGGGTTCGTGCTGGCCCTAGCCAGCGAGTAAGTTTCTGGTCGGTCTTAAAAGAGACCAAGGGGGACTTCGACTGAGCAGTGCTTGGTTGATGAGGATTCCACTGATCTACCTTCTGCTGACTAAGGAGAGTAGACTGAACCGACCCCAGTCGAGCAATCTGGTCACCCCATTGCCCCTCCGGTCTGGTCGCCCGAGCTGAAGTACAAAGGCTGAGCAGTGACAATGACTGA